GGAAGCACTTGGGGGTGTATTTATTCTAAAGGTGTGGCGGATCTTGGAGGTTTGAGCAGGGGAGTGATGCAATGTAATTATATTGTATCGGGGCTGCTTTGTGGAGAGTAGGAATGGGGGTGGGGCAGGGGAGGAGGCAAGGAAAGCGATTGGGTCTCTATGATCATCTAGGAGGGAGGAAGTGGTGGCACAAGTGAGTGGACTGAGGCTGGACCCGCTGGTGCGCTGGTGCGCTGGTGTTGGGAAAGGAGGGAAGAAGGATGCCTCCCAGGCCCCTGGCCTGAGCACCTGGGAACGTCGGGATAAACTCAGGGAGAGGAGGGCGTCCTCCACAGGTGTCTTCCGCCTGCTGGAACCACTGGGGGGGAGGGGGGGGTGAAAGTGGCATTTTCTTGTTTGTGAATCTTTGCCCTCCAATTCAGGAATGTGTTAAATACTGTTTGTTTGGGTAATCCTCTTTACCCGAATATAAGGAATAAATCAGACCATCTCTTTCATTAGTCATTCTACTCTGGTTGGGACAGAACAAATGGGAGCTGGGAAGATGTCCCCTAGGGAGACCGAGTGGAGAGGAGATTCAGGGTGCCTTTTTACCTTTTGGTTATGAAACGAATGGAGTTTAGCTTGTCCGTAATATTGATAGCACTTTAAGGAAGTAGCAGGTAATGGAGCAGAGTAATCTACAAAGTGTTCCTCGGAAATTCAAGCCATAAATGAGCCAGGCGGCAGGTTGAAAAGCCGCAGTCACTCAGCTGACTCTAGTAGCTTGAGGAACTCGGGGACACTTACTTACAGGAAGTGAGAGTCAGGTGGGGCGCCTGCAGCTTCACATCACAGCAGGACTGGGAGTGTCCTGATACTGGAACATCCTAGGATGGCTGGTCAAAATGCCCAAAGCCCCAAAGCCCTGTACCTATCAGGTGACTTTGAACAATTTATAGACAAGATGCTGCATTAAAACATTCATGGTTCAAAAAACAAAATAAAAACCAGGCTGTCAGACCAGTGGTTACTAGGGGGAGTTGTAAACGCACCGTCTTGCCGTCTCTGGGTTTGGGCCTGACTTGTGTTGGTGGGAAAAGAAACAGCCTGGTTGTGCTACAGCCAGGGCTGCGATGTCAAGGCCACTTCTGACCCTGTTCCCACATACCATCCAGGTCAGCGGTTCTCAACCTGTGGGTTGCGACCCCTTTGGGGGTCGAACGACCCTTTCACAGGGGTCGCCTAAGACCATCGGAAAACACATATATAATTACATATTGTTTTTGTGATTAATCACTGTGCTTTAATTATGTTCAATTTGTAACAATTAGGGGTCACCACAACATGAGGAACTGTATTAAAGGAAGGTTGAGAACCACGGATCCAGGTGTTCCCGTCTCTAATGATGCATTAAAGACTTGGTCTTGCTGTAAGAGAAGAACAACTGATTTTTTTTTTTAAGCATTGTAGGCTTTACAAAAAGTAGACATATGATGAAAAGCCACCTGAGCCAGTCAAACCTTAAATCAAGACTACTGAGAAGAAAGAACTGTCTGAGTTGATACTCAGATTTCAGGAGCACATCATTCAAGCCCCTAAACCAGCAGAATCAATAAAGAGGCCAGCTCCCGACAAACCAATGACAAATTTGGAATTAAAAGTATCTGCCTCCTGCCCAGCCAAGGTGGCTCAGTGATTGTCGAACAATGAACCAGGAGGTTGTTTTTCGATTCCTGTCAGGGCGCATGCCCAAGTTGTGGGTTTGGTCCCCAGTGGGGGGCATGCAGGAGGCAGGTGATCAGTGATTCTCTCTCATCATTGATGTTTCTCTCTCTCCCTCTCCCTTCC